TCTACTCATTTTTAACCACACATTCTTCAATAAAATAATATTCCATCACATCAATAACTTTTCCTTCATTTTTAACCACACATTTTTCATCAATCTACTATTCAATAATACATTCTTTCAAAATAATGTGTCCCAAACACACTCTTAAGTAGTCACTCTACCCCTTTTTTTTAGGGCGACGGTTCTCGACACGATTTCATGTTCTCTACTTCACTCATTATCAAGTTTCTAACTCATCAAGATAGCATATCAAATTCCAAGAACCTGAGTAATAGCATCGCAATTCAAAAAAAATAAAAATTGGAATTACGTCCATGTGTTCTCTCCATGTCAACGGTTTCAAAAATTACGATTCACAATCCTCCAATTGTGGATCAAATTCGATTTAGGGTTAGGGTTTATGGTGATTTGGGATTTTGAGATTTGGGAGGTGTTGTGGTTTCTTTCGTTGTGATGGAGGTCGTGCTTTTCAAATGGATGTTTTAATCTCATGCTTTCAATTTAAATCGGAGGCGTGTTTGGAGTAATGACATGTCATCGTTTTAACTTCCAAGTGGAAATTCCGTCCTCCACATAAGCAATGATTAGTCACAGTTTCTTTTGTGAGTAATGGAGTGAAACGATATAAAGTTCAGTGAGTAATGGAGTGCAAGTTGAAGTACAATGAATGAAATGTAACGCTATCTAAAGTTTGTGCATATTCAAATAATTGACTGTAGTAATAGCACTCTCCTACTTTCTGTCTCTTCTGTGAAGAAATGTTCTGCTCAATTGGTCTCGTCGTCCCCCTCTTCACAAGATCTTGACCAAAAATCATTAGGTGAGTCTTATTGTAAATGCTCGCCTAAATTCCTCAAAATTTGCATTTTTCAACTATTAGCTTCCAAAATCTGAAAAATATTATGTAAAAAAATTTAAGAATCTTCCCTCTACCGTGAGAAAGAATCGGATTTTCACCCTGTTTTCAAGATATCTTTTGATTGGAGCTGCTTGTTATGATTTTTACGAATTAGGAAACACTGGCTTAATATACTTGTACTGAACTTTATAATCGGAAATCAAGTACTGAACTAATAATTAAATATTAATTATTTTAATTACAGCTAATATTTAAATATTAAGTATGTTGAATACATAAGGTGATTTTCCTTAAATATCGTAATTCAAATTACCCATTATCTTAATTTTTGTTATTATCCAAATCCCTTCTCTCTCAATGTCCTCCCCCACGACTCCACATGAAATCATCGTTGAGTTTGCTCATTATTTCGATCATTTCAACTGTATTTTATACTTCTTATCTCTATAATATCAACATTGTCTCTTCCATTCATTATCTATTCCGTTAACTTGTGAAAATCGAAGAACCCGAAGTCGAAGTAAAATGGAAAAAGTAAAGGGTGCAAAAAAGGGAATCAAGATAGAATGCACACCACAAAGAAGAAGAGAAAGACTAAGGAGAGCCCTAAACAAACCCCCACCAAAATCAGAGGTCGTCTATGACCGTGCAAAAAGTGCCCTCGAACAAGGTAATTTCGATTTTTTTTATTTTTTCATTTGAGTTATATATATGTATTCAAAAATTGATGGTTTTTATTGGAATACTTTGTTTTATGGAATTGATTTTTATTTTTGCTTTATGAATTACATGTAACCAAAGTATAAAGAGTCCATATATGACCATGGTATCCGAATGTGACCAATGTTTTAATGAATATGTGACTTGAACGCATATCATTCTCTATGTCTGTGACCTTATTCATGTGATTATATACCAATATAATATATGTGACCTGATTTAATAATTGTGTATCATTTTATATGTCTGTGACCATGTTAAGATTTCAGTGAGCTCTTTAGAGAGAAAATGATATAGAGAGAAAATGAGATGATAAGTCGTTAAAAATTAGTCTAGTAGGCTAAGCTTCTAGGAAAGGAATAGAATTGCAGAAGGTATATGGAGGATGGGGTAGGGTGGCGGTGAAATTTCCAAATACATAGATGGATTGGAGGTGACAGAGTTTATTAGTTTTCTGCAAGTTTATTTACTTAATTTATTTATTATTTTAAAAATAAATATAATAAAGGAGTGGGGATTAAAAAAAAAAGGTTTCATAAAATACAAATAATGTAATAGCATTTGTACCTTTTGTTTTGTTTCCTTATTGAATGTGTATCATTTTCTCTATACGTGATTCATATATACTGTGTCATTCCAAACAAGTGTTTAACATTATTTCATTCCAAATACTTAAAACAAGTATGGAAATACATAATACCTGAAGAGAGTTGATTTTCACGCAAGATTACAACTTTAGTGACAAAGGGTGCTCTTACCACCATCAAAACAAATTTAAGTCAAGCACAGAAACGTATATTGATGGGAACATGCTTTACCCTTTTTCCTGGATTGTCATAAAATCGTGATTCAACCACAGTTGATTCACTACTTTCTTTTGAGGCGGAGGGGGAAGGGATTGTTATAGAGTGAAACTTAAAATTACATTTGTAAATAAAGTTGATTACTAGATTTGTAAATTTTATGAATATTGCATTCTATATATGTCTCTTTTAATATTTTATGCTTAATAGAAGTGACTATAATGAATATTAACATGTGGGTGTAAAGTCTGATTTGCAATTCATGAATGCAGCATGTTTCAGTTAATAATATCTCATTCTTTGGTTACATATTATTGTCAAGGGTCACAAATTTGATAAAAATGTCACATATTTGTATGCATAGATCTAATGTATGATGTGATTACAACCATAACTATTTATATTTTTCTGATATCTGTTGTAATTCTCCAAATCACTTGTTTGATATCTCATGATTAAGTAAAAATAAACACGTCATAGGTCACATGTCACATCACACAGGATACAAATCTTTTGGAAAAGGTCACATGTCACATCACCATAATTGGAATATTCAATTGTGACTTGAACATTCAATTCGTGACCAACATAATCTAATTATTACTTGGATTGTATTCTTCGGCGTCGAGAATCTATAATTTGTTAGCAGGATTGTCCGATTATTTTCAGTACATCCATTGATTCAAAAATATGCGACAAGAAACATCAATTTGATGAAAACGTTCATTTTTTTACGAAAATCAATTGAAACGGTTACCTGCTTTGTCTCCTCCAGCGACTGAAAGAGATTCTGTGTCGTGGAAATTTGAATTTCTGGTGAATCTGTAATTTCGGAAGAAGAATTTGTATTGTAAGGGAGTATTGTTATAGAAGAAAAACACGCTTAACTATAGGAAACGGATATAATAGAATATATATATACTTGAGTTGTGATTTGGCGTATACAAAGTCACTGAGTTGTGATTTTTTTTCCATTTTCTTTATTGTTTCCTGCTTGTGTTGTATTTTTTTTTTGAAGACAAGGGTGGAATTGTTCTTTTAATAATATTTCAGCTCGTTATTTAAGTATTAGGTAAATTGACAAATTCCTCCAGTTATTCAAGTTTGAGAATAGAAATGCTATGAAATAAAGGTTGATAACATGATTTCAACGATAATCAAAGATTGGGAACCATTAACCGAAGCTGGACATTGATCCAATAAAGGCATCTAGTCATTGGAATTGTTGGATCGATGAATCACAGGTCAAACATGTAAGTCACTGCTTTAAGAATTGAGTAGAATTTTGGAAATGTTTTGTTTGAAAACGTTTTTCATTTTGAGATAGAACAAAAATTTAGGTATTTTCTTTCAAAGATGCTGTGTTTCTTTTATATTTATTGATAGCGTACTGGTTATTAAAGTATTTTTCATCCCAGTACCAAGATGTTGTAATTTTTATATTGGGCTTGAATTTGTAAGTTAAGACTTCAGTTCTTTGTAACACAAAATATAGATATATTTATTTGAGTACGTAATAATATTCATCCAAAATGATGATCACGACCACACGTTGACTATTGATGATCGTAATTTTAGATAAATGATATTCTTCATTTATTTTGGTAAGATACTTTGAATATACTGTAAATAGGTGGAGTGGAACGATGAACCAGACTAGATCATTGGTTCGTGTTGGATTGTCTACCGGCAATTCACATGTAGATTCATTCAACTATCTCACTCAGAACAATTTTTAGTTTGTTTCATCGAATTTTCGGACTTTGTTTAGATTGACCAGTTTGGTACCATTTTATAACTATAGCATCATAT